ATAAGGTACAGTTTGAGACAATAACTTGATTTTTCTTTTTTTAATATTAGAAAAGAGAAATAAATATAATCACAATGTATTTCAATCTAAGAATTACCATTCTGGGTCAAAATTTTTTCCTATTTGATCCTACATACACATATTTAATCCAATGAGCTACTAGCAATTAACTGCCTAGTCTCACAAAGCATATTTGTCTCCTCCAAGTTAAAAACTACAGATGGCATGAGGTGTTCCTGACTAACCTCTCATTAGTACCACTGTCTGAATAAAAAGCATTATAATTTGTTCTAAGCAGATTTATCATACTGTGAAGCTCTTCCAAGATTTTTCCTGATAGCCAGCACATCCACCAAGACACTACTTGAAGTCTAGATACATAACAAAAATAAATTGCTATCAGATTATCTTTATTTTCCTTAATAAAATACACACTGAGCACAAAATTCACTCATGTATCATCATTATTGAACAAGTATAAATAATACTAAGAATTCAAGTACAGTCAAGTGCACCATTTATTTCCTATATGTTAATATGTAAACATAAGCTAATTATATACATCATGTGCCTTTGGCCCAGCTGCAAAATAAAAAACATCAAAAGAAACACTGCACCTGACTGTTCAACTGCATTCTTACTAAATGTTCGTACCAATGTCTAGTAGTTACAGTTACAACTTTCATATCATTTAAACACCTAAGTAGGCATTTACTCCCCACTGGTGAACATCTCAAGAGTTATAACTCTGTTTGTAATAACAAAGTATTGCATTTCATTCCTAAACACTATTAGAGAAATTATTCCTAACCAAAGTCCTCCCTATGTCAAAATAGATATTATTTACAGGTATTATGTATAGAAAACAAGAATGCTACCTTTTTGTTTTGTTTTGACTTTTAGAATAAACATAAAATGTCTGAAGGTTGTCTATTAACAGTGTTGGTCTTTGTATGTTCAAAAGGATCTTACTTCACTGATATCACTTGCTTTTAATTTTAGCATCTAGTACATGACTCTGACATACTGAAACTGCTAGATGATCTGAATTTAAATGACTTAAAGCATATACTTAGAGGAGCAAAAAAAAAGTTCTTTAATGTACCATCAAAAAAGCAATAACTGACATCAACAAGATTACAAATATCCAGTTGAAGGCACATGGAAGGATTTACTACTTTGTCATCAAAGACTCTCCACTTAGTTCAAGATCAGGAGTAGAATCCACTCTGGGAACTGTTGATTTGGCTTCATTTCTTGAGGTTTCCTTATTGGCAGTCTCTTCTTGTTTTTCCTCTAGTTCCTCTATGCCAGATGCTTTTGCAATTACTTCGTTTGTCTGCTCAGTAGCTGTTATTTTGTCATCTGTCTGATCTGTACTATCATCGAGAACATCTTGTTCTTCTAAAGATTCTGAAAAGATAGAGATTCGAGACTTCAGGAACACCCAAATGTCAAAATTGTTAAATAAGGCAAGTAAAAGATAAATGCACACATGCACGTGGGCATATACACACAAACTAAGAACAGCAGAATGGGCTAGTTATACTTAAAATATTTTTTTCTCCAGTACTGGGGCTTAAACCCAAAGCCTCACACATCCTAGCCAGGTGCCCTAACCCTGATCTACACCCCCAGCCCATTCAAATCTTTTAAAACAAGTAGTGAATCCTCTATAGCATACCATTTATGAGTTAGTATGAAGAAAAAAAAATTTGAATAAATCCATAATTGTACTTTTCAATTTCCATACAAAATAAGCTCCTAAAGATACATTTGTAAGTTGAATGTCCAACATTCAAAGTCCTAACAGAATCATGTGCTGTAAGATAACAGCCCGGCACACACAGGTACTGTATTCACTACCAGGTCAGACTTCTTGAAAGGACTATTTCAGTAGCCCTGCCTGCAAGCAACATGTCAATGTGTACTTTTGTGCACATGCATACATGCATGCATATGTGTGTGTTTAGGAGGTGCTTTCCTATCTTTCTGTATCTCTATTATTCAAGAACTGAGGAAACCAGAATCCACTTTTTTCAAGGGCATGACAAGTCTCCCATTATCTCTGCAAGACAAGTGCTCAGTATTGGGGGGGGGGGGCCACCGGGGATTGAACTTGGGTCCTTGCGCTTGCAGAGCAGGCAGCGAAACCACTGAGCTAAATCCCCAGCCCAAGTGCTCAGTATTTAAACCTCTGTCTGAATCAGAATATGCTATATACCTAGCATGCTAGAGAGATGAAGGGAAAGATCTTTTTCCTCTTTTTACTAGCAGAAGGTAAGTAAAGTTCTTGGTGTTAACCTTGAGATTTACTCCTTTTAACACATTTAAAGTGTTACTAAATTTAAATTCCTTGATAACAATTTAATGACAATTTTATTAAATAAATTGCCTTCAATTCTTTAAACTTTAGAGTAGGATGAAGGAGATGACAGAAGACACAATTTCCAAGTCAAAGATAAAAATACAGCTTTGTGGTATTTTTTTTAATAAACAGCAATTAATATTCTTATTAAGAAAAACATGGTTATGGAAAGGAAAAATTATAAGAAAGGAAAAAAATGGAAACAAAGCATGTAAATAAGGGAAGGATGGAGGGGTGAAGGGCACACAGGTAATGGGGAAAAAATAAGAACCAAGATACATCATGTACAGGTACAAGCACTTTAATGAGGTCTTTACTGTATGAAAATTTCATTTGATCACAAAAAGTAGGAAGGAATAATCATAAACCATATTTGTGACAAATATCATAAAAGCATTACTTGTATTTTAGTGTGATACTTAAAATGGCACTGTTGTACCACTTGGAAGCTTAAAATCAAGGTATAAAAGCAGTAGGTCACTCAAGTTTTATATGAATATTCCACAGCAGAAAGGAAAAGCAAAAGAGCAAATAAAACTCCATAGACATGTACAAATCATTTCTGCTACAAAGGGAAGTCAATTCTGTGCAAAACTTAAGGTGTGCCAACCATTTATAATTCTACCCTCACCAGGTTAGAATTTTAAGTGTCACTGTTTTCCACAATTCTCTGGTCATAAAGCAATATTTGCTTGGCAAAAAATGTATAATCTATATAGTAAGCCTTCTGATACATACCAATAAAACACACAAGTTAAGCAACAGCAAAAAAACTCAGACTCTAGGATGCAACTCACCAATAAACATGTTTAAGTGAACAGAGGACCACATAGTTTTGTCACATTCTGACAGACTGCTTCAATACTATGCTAAAATGGGAGAGGTATCAAAGTTCAAGGTTTATCACATTAAATTTTGTGATATTAGTTTTGAGAAACAGATACTTAACTAGTCAAAGCCAATTTTAAAATTCTCAGTTCATAAAAAAAGTTAACACAAAGAGGAACTACAGTACTAAAAGTTTAAAATGTCTATAATATACAAATTCAAAGAAGTATCATGTGCTACTATTAAAAAACATGACAAAGTTTCCAGTCAATATTGTATTTCAGAGAATATACAGAAGACTAAAAGAATAGGTGAAATGATGAGTAGGTCTTGAAAATAATCAGCCTACTAATAACTACTTTCCTTTCATTGGGTTGATTTTCAGAAAAGCAATAGTAGTAACACTACAAAAAAGTTGGTACGTGACATGTCTATAATGCAAACATCAGTTAGTCTAAATGAGATAGCTATTTTATGTTTGGAAGCCAATTCCATGTAAGAAAAAACAAGATCTAAATGAACTAAGTATAAAAGATTAACAGAAAACTGCACATCAATTTCATAACTAAACCTCAGAGGTTTATAATAAGACTACCAATGCCCTACTCCAAAATAACTTATTTCTATGGCAGAGTAACATTTGACTAGTCTAATAAAAACAGTGTATTTTTCCTATGAAGTTGTAGTTGAAAATAGCTTAGTGGCATAAAATACATTTCAGATAATATTTTTCTATAAAATACTAAAAAAAACAAACAAACAGCATTTGTGTTCTCACTAAATAAAAAGGTCTACTCTTGCCCATATGACCCAGTTGAAGACTAGGGATGTAAATGTGGCCACCTTAAATAATTTAATTCTGTCTGTACAAAAAATTTTTTAATCAACTTTGCCATCTATAATGCCAAGAAAACACTCTATCATAATGTGACAAAATATCCATGGAATTTGTTTCTTTCCCTACTCCTGGCTCCTCTGCACATCAATATTCTTGAGAGAGTTTTTCTATCAAATAGCAAAAATCAGCAACTAGTTGTCCGGGTAAAGTCTCAACTCAGACAACTCAAATTCATAAAACTGAGTGTAACTGTATAATGAATACCATTGCCTCACCTATAAGCCTCACATATGCAGAACACATATAAGTACTTCACCTCACCTTCAGGTTTTTAGGTTTTTTAACCCTATCTCTTGAGCAATTTTCTAAGGAAAGTAAAAAATTAACTAGCAAAATAACTTCACTTATTTTTGCCTTGCTAACATAAAAACTTTGCCTTCCTAGCCAGGAGTGTGGCATATGCATGTAATCCAGGCTGAATCAGGAGAATCACAAGTTCCAGGAAGGCCTGGGTAATTTAGTAAGACCCTGTTTCAAAATAAAATTTTTAAAAAGGCTGGAGATATAGCTCAGTGATAGAGTAGTTGCCTCACATGTATATGGCTGTGGGTTCAATCCCTTGTATCATTAAAAAAAAAAGCCTTGCTAATACATCAATCCTCAGTTATGTGTAAGACTTATAAACTTATGCAAAAAACATCATTAAATTAAAATTGGCAATTTGTCCTCAACTTCAAAGGTTTCAAACAAGGTTGTTTTTATAAGAATTTCCTGTTTTAGGGTCGGGGCTTTAGCTCAGTGGTTACAGTGCCTGCCTCGCCAGCACAAGGTCCCAAGTTCGATCCCCGGTACCAAAAAAAATAAGAAAGAATTTCTTGTTTCATGGAAAAAGGTAAACATAAGGAACAAAGACATGAATATTATTCCAACTCAATCCAATGACTCAATAAAATTCAAATTATAACCACTTTTCAGAAAATGGCTAGTTTTCGACACAGAATATCATTTAATTATTTACCATTGGTGAACAAATTAAGTATTATTTGTTTCATTAGTAAGCTATGAGTTAAAACCTTATTAGGTGGAGATGTTTTAGAGAAAGTAGTCAGAAACCCAGAAGATCTCTATATTTAAAAAAAACATGCAACTCAGGCAAATGTACATCTTGAGAAAGCTAAACATAATTAAATATAAACAAAGGCATAAAATTTTTGGATCTGATAAATACACAGAATTCAACAAAATGTTCATTATCACATAGTTTAAGACCATCATAACAAAAATACCAAAAGTAGAATTTTCCCTCACTCAACATGCCCTGATGGCAAACATATTCTGTATAAATGAAAGGAACACCAGAAATCAGACTACCAGGGAAATTTTCACCATATATAAATTTTACTTTCTATTTTTTGATAGTATTGTTTAGATACCATACATTTTACTATTAGTCATATAAAAGCTATTTTCTACTAAAATAATTACATGAAACCTAGACAAACACAACTGAACAATAAAAACATGCTAACCAAAAAAAAATATCTCTGTACTAGTATACCAATAATGTAGAAAAGATTACCACATTAACAAGAATGCTATGTATTAGGTATTTTAGAAAAGCATGTTTTTTTATAAATTTGATTTTATTATATCCCGTTTCTCCCCCTTCAAGCACCCTCCCCGCTCCCTATGTATAAAAGCTTTGAGAAAGCATATTTTTAAAAGGCAAAACTGATAAACCACTTTAATGGTATTTAGCAGAGATTCAAGAATTACTGGACTTCAGGGCCAGGGATTTAGCTCAGTAATTCTGCCATCTGCCTTGCAAGCATAAGGACCAGAGTTCAACCCTCGGTACCAAAAAAAAAAGAATTACTGGACTTCATTTAATCATAAAAGAAACAGGAATATAAAAGCAGTTCAGTTTTTGACATACTATATCTTATATGCTCTCAAATAAAAAAGATAATCCATATTCCTAATTCTTTATGTTTTCTCTGTTACCAAAGTATCAGGATAATAGTCATAGGGAAAAAAGGTATAAATTCAAATGAGCAATTTATGCGAGAAATTTCTTCTAGGTCTCTTTGATGAAAACTTGCCAAGATTCCATATGTTGTTCTAACAAGTATTCCAGAAATTTTAAAAGTCTTATGCTTCATTCTAAAGTCAAAACCTTCAAATATCACAATCCAGGCAAAAAAAATTTAAAGGCTTGTATAATGGAGTGGAAAAAAATTTGTCTTTTATTAATTCTAGATCATTCATATAAATGGTTCTTGATTCTTGCTGAAAGAAAAGTTTAGATGGAAAAAAATTACCTTTTGGGTCCGTCTATAAATTCAGTAACCTGATCACTACAGTTTTTGCTGCTATCAAGAAGCTACTTCAGAATACAAAAATTAAAGTAAGAAAGTTTTTCTTTTTCAGTCCTTAATTTTCTACATCCCTGAAGAATTTGGAAATCAGAAGTGTAAGCTTCTAGCTATATTGGCTGCTGGCACAGAGTAGATGATTGAGATGACATTTTCCGAAATACTTCCAGTTGTTTACTAGAAGAATCCAGCTTTGAACTGATAACTCTATCACAGGGTGGTGATAGGAGTCTTTGAAAAGTTTCTGTCTTCTGGAAAGCCAAGGAAGAAAAGGTGCTCATGGCCACTTGGGTGAATCCAAAGAGAAGCACGAAAACTGCTACTTCTCTAGAAATGACTTTAACTAAATGGAACTGTTGCTTCACTTTCATCAGACTTTGCCTCAAATTTCCCTCACTTATTAACATTACCTTATTAGGGTTGAGTTTGAGCCAGTTAGACTTCATTCCAGAGAGTTCAGACAGAAAATGAGACATCTGGGGTATTGTCCCTCCTAGATTAGATGAGAAGGAAAGGTAAAGCTGGGTGTTGTTTGCTAACTATCCAGCTTGACCTTAGCAGAAGAAATAAAGCACGGGACCTATTATAAAACTTTTTATTTTGTTGACTGCTTTTTCTGTTCTTTTCCCTTTTTTTAAATCCCAACTACTGGCTTTCAAATATTCACTTTAGCTTTCATAAGCAAGGTTACTCATGGAAAGGACTCCAATTTTTCCTCTAGGCATCTTCAGTTCCAAGAGGCTCTATGTCAAGGCAGATGGTTTGCATGTGACAGCATGCAGTTTCGAGCATGACAAGCAAAAGAAAAAAATGTGACTGTCTGGAGTTGATATTGCAGACTTGAAGAAGACGAATGCATTCATTCAGTGTCACAAGTATACAGGCCTCCATCATAGCTTTCCATATTCAAATTAATTTTGGTGATTGTTACTAAGCCAAAAGCGAAGCCTAGCTCAACACATACATTTTAGGCTCACTCTTCAAAGTCTGAAAAGAACATCAACTCTCACACTAAATTTCTGATATCTGAAAATTTACTGCTTCATGTAATGAAGCTTCAGTTGAAGCCAACTTTGCAAAACTTAATGTTTTAAGAAGAAATCAAATATATGTAAACATAAGTCCTAGAAAATAAAAGTATGAATATTGATTGCTAAATAAATTGTGAACTGAACTTCCATTATACATTCTACACCAAATATTGGACCAAACTATCATGACCTATGTATGAACATTTAGCAATGTTCATAATCTAGAGGTGATTAGCAAAGAACTCCTGACCAAATATTAATAGCAAGAAATACCTTGCTATTAATAGATCTCCTATATTCACCCTTTCCATTATTTTTGTAATGAAACTTCCTCAAAAATTCCTAAAATAGAATGGCAAGGTGAATTCTAAAACACAAGGTTCAAATAAATTCTATTTCTGTAAGATAAGTTTGATTTTACAAAGACAATATTAATCTCATGGACCTCTGTAGAACACAGTCCTATTGATGTCATCCAAAAAATGCAAAGATGACCTTCCAATTCCAAAGTTTCTTGCTTTCTGGTAATTTCCACCAATTCGAGTGGTAGACACATGCCTATTTTATCAATGTTAATCATAACTCTCAAAATATTTCGTCCTTATAGTTTTTTTCATAATCTAATAATCTGCTTTACTTGGTTAAATTTTAAAAATGATTCTATGAAAATAATACCAGTCAAATTTCCCAACAGTTTTTAGAAGAGCTGACTCTTTATATATTTATCTAGCTGGTGCTAATGCTATTTATCACAATTTAATCTGTATTCTTAAAAATTTTTTTTGGTTCTGAGGACTAAACCCACTGAGCTAAATCCTCAACCCCTAAAACTTTCATTTTAAAAGTGAAACATATCTCCAGGTGTGGTGGTACAGGTCTGTAATCCCTGTGCTCAGGAGGCTGAAGCAAGAGGATCACTGCAAGGTCAGTCACCCCAGGCTACATGGTGATTTCAAGGCCAGCCTGAACTACATAGTGAGACCCTGTTTCAAAAGGCAAAAAATAAAATAAAATAGAAACATATCATACCACACAGGAGGCCATCAGAGCAACAGCTGACCTATGCATGCTGCAAAATGATAAATTAATCCAGTTATCTATAAACATTATCCTTTTAATATTGTTAAACAACACACATTATAAAGAGACAAAAATTGACTTATCCATACCTTCACTGAACTGGTTCTCTGATGAAAGCATACCTTCTGATGGCAAAGGACCAACTGAACTTGAGCTTTCCACTGCCTGCCTTTTCTCAAAACTAAACTCTGGAAGTTTTGGGGCCTGAGGTCTGGTTTTTCTCGCAGGATTCAAGAAAAAACAGTAGGCACATCGAAAAGCTGCAGAAAATTTTTAGAAAATAAGCAAAATTACAAACCAAAGAAAGTTCAAAGACTAAACAGGTAATTCAGATTACTTTTGCAAAGAGTTGAGAACATTTCAAAAGTTACTTATACCTTGTGACATGTATGTGTTACTTTAATAATACTGTGGTTAGTATTCTAACCAAAGCTAATTTTAAAGCATACTTCCTATTCATTATTAGAATACTAATTTTAAGGCAGGAATAGCATAACAAGTTAAACAACAGGTTAATGGATAGCAAAATGATATTAATAATAATTTAAATGTATTACTGAATTTGTATTTCTAGTGAATAGAATCATTAGATAGTCTAAAATCCAGAAACTTGCTCATTTGCTCAAAAAAATGCAGATGTCATACTTCAAAAGCATGGTTTATCACATGAGTATTTAATAGTGGCAGCAGTAAGAATCATCTATGTGTTTAAAAGAAAATAGGATGTTTAGATCCCACTCCAGATCCATTCAGACTCTTGGTAGGTGGGTACTGGATATCATCATTTTCTAAAGCTCTGCAGGTGAGTTTGAGAACAACCACCCTAGAGGCTGATCTTTATATGAAGAAGAAATTTGAGTTGTCTTCCCTGTTTTGCTCAGAGTATTAAATATGCTTTGCCGACGTGTACAGAGATTTTTGTTTTATTTCTAAAATAAAATTGCATTATATGGGAAGTGGCATAGAATGAAATATTTAAGAGTAAAATATTGAAGAGTAAAATCTAACTAGCCAGTAATTCTTACCAATGTATTCAAATTCTTCTTTCAAAGCCATGCCATTATGAGAAAAACACTGTTGACATATAAGGGCGTACCTACACCAAAAGAAAAAATGAACATACCAGTTACAAAAGAAGACACAGCTCATAAAAGAGGTTATTTTAGCCATCACAGCTAATAGGTCATTAACAAATTAGATGTTACTTAGTATATCATAAACGACATTCCTTAAAGCAAAAGTTAACCAAAGCTAAAATATCAACCATTTAAAAACAAAATATCAAATTAAAAAGAAAACTAAGCAACAGTTGAAAATATCTTTAAGTAAGCAGAAAAATACTTGATAACATAACATTTAAATTTCAGGATTTCCCAATGTATATTCCAAAGGATGACAGCTCCCAAATATTTAGTCACATCTAAGTTTGGAAAAAACAGAACTCTTGTAGAGATTCACAATAAATATTATTAAAACCCCTGAGAAGTCTTGCAGTAAAGAAGTGCATTTTTTGTAATGTAGTCTAAAAGTTAATTTCTATACATCATGGCTCCTGTACTTTTCTCAGGTACACTTAAACATCCTCTTCATTTTCTACTTATATACACTTTCTATTCTCTGTACATATACTCAACAAATAGTTGGCCTGACCAAAAGTCATTCTATTTGAAATAGCATACAATCGACTACATTAACATAAAAGGCTGGTCCATTTAAAAATCATATTGTTCTGCCACCTGCCTCTCAAGTGCAAGGACCCGAGTTCGATCCCTGGTACCAAAAAAAAAAAAAAAATCATATTAACTAGTAAAGTAGTCAAACATTCATTTTACTATACAATGATGTCTGTGTGTGTGTGTGTGTGTGTGTGTGTGTGTGTGTGTGTGTTTGAATGTGAGCTCCCTTTTCCTTGAGACAGGGCCTCTCTATGTATGTAGTCCATGCTGGTCTTAAACTCACTATGTAGCCTAGACAGGCCTTGAACTAACAGCGATCTTCCTGCCTCAGCCTCCCAAGTACTGGGATTATAGACATGACTCATCACACCTGGCTGATTTTTTTTAAAGTTTATACTACAATAATTGCTCTACTCATATCATACCTATGTTCCTAGAGTTATGACAAGGACCAAATAAGGTAATAATTAGAAAAGTACTTTGACATCTATATATTAAATAAATTAAATTGTTCTCATCATCATTAAAATGTTACCATTCCCTACTGGCACCTATAAAAGTCCATTTCTTAACAACTTACCAGGTTTTTACTATTTTTATGCTCTTCAAGTTTAAAAATTTCAATGAAATAATTCAATTTCTCTACATTAATCTTACTATAGAGTTAATATTTTTTACAAATGAGTTTTAACTATGTTCAAAATCCTACTAAAAACAACTAAATACATACTATTTTAGAGGGCTATAAATATTTTATTATGTTCTAAAAATCAGAAAGTAGGAGGCAAAAAATCATGGAGTGCACACACACACACACACACACACACACACATTGACAAATTTTTTCATTTTACTTCATCTACCACCCAAGCAAACAGTACCTGTTTTGTGGACCATCACCAACTAAATATTCAACAATTCTATCCAGTGCACCGCGTTCTCGGGGAAGAATGGGTCTTGCTAAGGGTGGACCTGGAGGATGAAGACCTACCAAATAAAAAATACATATCAAGTTTATATGTATAAGACATATATAAAACAATTCAATAATCAAGGACTACCTATGCTTGTTAGTTTTTAAAAGATTTGAATAGCAAAACATTAATTTTTATAAATCTTTGTAGAACATTTAAATTTTCATTAAAAATACTGTACTACAAAACAGTATTTACATATATGCTACATCAAAATCACCAACATAATTTATTAGGAGATAAAACTATGTTAGGTTCTGTGCAAGCTAATTTTCTAAATACCTCAATGCTAAAACCCTTTAATAATAAGGGGGACTTCCACTTTGAACTCTAATGGAATAACAGGGATCAGATTTCCCTTCCTACAGAAAAAAACTATAAAACTGTGCAAAATATACAAAATAATAGACTTAAAGATATGAGATTATCAGGCATTGTAGGTCAATGTTCCCTTAGCAATGAAAAACAAGATACGCCCTGCAACTGCTACAGCTTATTGCTGTGGTGCAAAAAGGGAGAACGCAACAGTCTCCCAAGGTTGAGAAGACAGTGCTAGGAAGACCAAGGCACTTCAGGTTCACATAAAGGCATACCAAAGATGAGAGAAGGTAGAGACAAAGAATACTAAAAGATCTTCAGAGGGGCTCCCAGAGTATTTACCAGACTACTAACTGGTGCATGCATACAAGAAAACTACCTTAAAAATAGAAAAACCACCTACAACAGATGAAAGAGAATAGTATTCATGCAAGGCCAGAAATAGTGCCTGTTTTCATCAACCAGAGTGGAAAATCTCCTAACAAAGATCACTGGGCAAAATATAGAGAAAGGTTTTGTAAAGGAATAAAAAAATTATCCAATTAAGGTAAATTTTACAATGTCTGGCATCAGATCAAAAATAACCAGACACACAAATCAGCAGTAAAATATTAGCCATAAGGACAAAAGTTAAATGAAGTTGGCTCAGAGACAACAGAGATAATTAAGTTAGCAGACAAATATGTTGAAATGTCAATTTTCCATATATCTGAGAATCTAGAGGAATGATTCAGTCTGTTAAGTAGAGACATGGAAAAATACTCCAACTGAACTTCTATGGATAAAAATTATAAAGTCTAGAATGAAAAAATCTACAGATGATGTGAACAGTTTAGACATTACAGGAAAAAAAAAACACTGGAGACCTTGAAGACATGTAATAATAGAAACCACACATAAACATATTTAAAAAGCTACCAAAATTTTAAAGGAAAAAAACTGAGTCATATATGTGTATGTGTGTATACACACACACACACACACACATATATATATATGTGTGTGTGTATATATAAAATTTAAGACTGTGAAGAAGAAAGAAAAAAATGTACTTGAATAAATCATACACAAATTTTTTCTAAATTGGATAGAAACTACAAACCCACATATGCAAGAACATCAAACAAATCCCAAGCACAAGAAACATAATTTCCCCAGGGATTTAGCTCAGTGGCACTGCGCCTGCCTGGCAAGTGCAAGGTCCTAAGTTTGATCCCAGTACCAAATAAAAAACATAATTTTGTACCAAAAGACAAATGATCAAACTGCTTAAAAGATACACAGAGATAAGAATGACAGCAGACTTTTCAGCAGAAAAGATGCAATCCAGAAGACAATGAAACAATATCTTTCAAGCTCTGAAAGGAAAAAGTATCAAACTAGAATTCTGAATATAAACATCTTTTTGAAATGAAGGCGAAATGAAAATTTTTTTCACATATTCAAAACTGCAAGAATTCATCACCAAAAGAACTACACTACACGAAATGTTAAAAGAAGTTCTTCAAGTAGGAGGAGAGTGTCAGCAGACAGCTGGATCTACCTAAAGAAATGAGACATGGGCTGGGGATTTAGCTAAGTGGTTCTGCTGCCTGCCTCCCAAGTGCAAGGTCCTGAGTTCAATCCCTGGTACAAAAAAAGAAAAAAGAAAAAAATAAGAAGTACAGTATCTGAAATGGTTACCATATGGCTATCTATGGAAGACTTTTACTATTTGAATGTCTTTAAAAAATAATTGAATAACTAAAGGAAAAAATAATTTATTGTAGGGATTATAATATATGTAGAAGTAAAATATACAATAATAGTACAAGGGCCAGGACAGGAGACACAGTATATTGTTAGATTCTTAAAATTATGCAAAATGATGTCATCATTTGAAGGGAAATTGTCATAAATTAAAGATATATACTGTAAGCCCCAAAGCAAGCACAAAATAACACAAAAAAAGTCTTACAGCTAAAAAGGCAGTAAAAGAATTAAACATATATATATAAAATTAAAGATAATCCAGGCCAGATGTGGTGATGCACACCTGTAATCCTAGCACTCAGGAAGCTGAGGCAGGAGGATCCCTGTAAATTTAAGGCCAGCCTAGGCTACATAGTGAGTTGAAGGCCAGCCTGAAGTATATAGTAAGACTCTGTCTCAAAAACCCAAAATAATAATCATATTCATAATCCAGAAGATGGCAGAAAATGAGAAAAATATTAATACAAAGAACAAATGAGACAACTGGGGGGAAAATCAGGTGGAATATTTAGACCCAAATCCAAAGACATAAATCATTAGAGTAAATTTATGTGACCTAAATAACCTCATAATAAAGTAAAGGCTGTCAGAATGAATTTAAAAAGCAAGACTCAAGCAATGTATGCTGTCTACTCACATATATGCACACACACCCAAAAAGATACGGAACAAACAGGTTAAAGGTAAAATGAAAGAAAAAAGATACAAATATATTAACTAATCCAAATAAGTCTGTAGTAGTTATATCAATATAAGACAGAAAAGAAAGGTAATTACACAGTAACAGAAGAGTCAATTTATCAAGAATAATAAGCATATATGAGTTATCATAAGAGCTTCAAAACACATGAAACAAAAACTGATAGAAATATAAGAAGAAATAGACAAATACATAATGACAATTAAAAGCTTCAACATTCAGTTATTGATAAAACAAGAACAAGATGGAAGATTTGAAAAAGACTTCTCTACTACTAACTTAATCTAATTAACATAATACCAGCTCTACCCAGTACGAATAAAACATAAGTTCATTTTAAGAAACAGAAAATATTCACCAAGTCATGACATTATGGGACATCAAACAACTCATTGATGAGACATAAAACAAGTTTCAATATATTTAAGAAGATTCTAAATAATAAAGTATGTTTTCTGACTACAATAGAACTAAGTTAGAAATCAGAAACTGAAAAATCACCAAATATTTGGAGGCAATATAACATCTAAATAACTGATGATTCAAAGGAAAATTAGAAACTATTTTCACTGAATGAAAATTTTTAAAAATCAAAAGTTATCCCATATAGCTAAAGTACTGAAGAAAATTTAGAACACTAAGGATTTATTTTAGAAAAGATAAGCCTAAAGTCCATGACTTCAGCTTCCACCTTGAGAAACCAAAAAAAGTACAAATGAAACCTAAATTAGAATAAATAAAATAATAAAGTAGAACATATATAACAGAGAAAAGCTGGTTTCTTTAGACAATCCATAAAACTGATAAATTTCTAGCTACACTAACCAGGAAAAAAAATTCAAGCACACTAATATCTGTACTACTATACTACTAATATATACTATTATACTATTAATATCTATACTACTATTAACTCCAGATTATAAAAATATTAAAAAGGATAACAGGAATATTATGAACCACTTTACAGCAATAAATGTTGTAAGTTAGATGAAACAAATTCCATGAAAGACTACCACACTAGCAGGGCTCACTCAAACAGATACATATTACTTCATTTACTAAAATTTTGCCAATAACTGTTTCTTCTTATGTTCATGCATAATGGTATTCTATACTTCTTCTCTGATTTAAGAAATTGAATTTTTTAGTTTAAGGGGCAAATAAAATCATTTCCAGAAAGATAACACCAGAACCATATGCTTCAACTGGCAAATTCTACCAAACATTTAGGGAAGAAGTAATACCAATTCTACACAAATTTGTCCAGAAAATTGAAGAGGAGCTATGAGGCCAGCATTACTCTGATACTAAAACCAGATAAAGATATGAGAAGAAAAAAAAATTACAGGGCTGAGGATATAGTTCGGTGGTAAGAGTGGCTGCCTAACATGTACAAGGCCCTTGGTTCAATCCCTAGCACTACAAATAAATAAGTGAATAAATAAAATAAAAATTACAACCCAATATCTCTAATGAGCATTGGTATAAACATTTTTAACAAAATGTAAACAAATCAAATGCAACTATAAATAGATACAGATATGTAAATATATATAAAACAGTACATCATGACCAAGTGAAATCTATTCCAGGAAAGCAAGGACATTTAACATTTAACAATCAATGTAATTCACTAAATGATCAAATATTAGAACAAATTCCTATATGAACATCTCAATAGATGCAGAAAGATCATTTGACAAAATGCAGCATCTATTACTGATAGAAACCTTCAGGTAACTGGAAAGGCACTTCCTCAACCTGATAAAGGACGTTTATTTAAAAACATACCCAGAGCAAACTTCCTGCTAAGTGGTGAGAGAGTAATTGCTTTACTCTCAAGATTAACAATAAGACAATGATATCTATTTTCTAAAAAAAAAAAAAACGTATTTTTATCACTTCTATTCAACATTGTACTGAAAGTTATAACTGGTGAAATAAGAGAAGAAAAATAAAAGGAAGACAGACTGAAAAAAGAAAAATAGAATTCTTTATATATAGACAATGCGACTGTCTATGTAGAAAATACTGCGTGCGGCCGGGGATTTAGCTCAGTGGTTTTGCCACTTGCAGCACAAGCACAAGGACCTGAGTTCGATCCCCGGTACCAAAAAAAAAAAAGAAAGAAAGAAAATACTATGTAATTAACAAAAAAAAAAAATAATAGAACCAGAGTTCAGGAACATTAGAGGATATTAAGTTCAATGTACAAAAATCTATTGTTTTTATGAATACTAGCAATAAATAATTATAAATACTTAATAAAACAATATCATTTACAGAGGCAACAAAACATGATAAAAATGTCAAAACATATATAACATTACAAAACATTCCTGAGAGAAATTAAAGACCTAAATAAATGAAGAGATATACTGCATTCATGTAATAATTTAGGTAATACCTGAAGAGACTAATGGAGAGAAGAATAACAAATATTTTAGTGATTTACTATCTAAAAACAGTAAGTCATATACTTTGTATGTGGTTTCCAGGTCTGTGTACATAATAAAGTTTATTTTTCTCCTTTAAAAAACAATCAAATGTTATACTTTATAAACTATAACTCCGATCTTGGAAAGCTGAAAGAAAATTTTTGGAAGGAGATACTCTAAATTGAGAGAACATAGAAGGCACTGCAAAGAAATTCAGAATACAGTAAAATATGATACTGCCTTTGAAAACAAGACATGGTGAACACTGCCAAAAATATGAATGAGTTGAATGATTTATTATAGCAAGAATTAATAATTCATTAGTTAAGGAAGTCAGGCAAGGTGGGTAGCAATAGGGGTTAATATGGAGAAGATTCTGAAACATGAAGGGACCCTGTTAGAATAAGCCTTGCAATGCAACCATACAATGTTTTCAAAATGCATGTGACAAAAACTTAAGACTAGCTTTCAAAGAGCAATACTATATTATTATCTTAAAGGAATAAGAAAAATAGTGCTTTATAAATAATCATGACTGAAACACTGTCACTACTAAAAAGGGGATAACAAAGGAGATATCAAAATTACTATTAGCAAAGGAAATTTAGTTTCTAGAACAAGTTCTTAGTATTACTAATCAAGTATATATGACATTGATCACTTATGATATTGGTTACTTGTGCTAACAATGTTCAATTATCATTGAAAAATAAGAATGAAGGTTGTTACTGTAATTCCTCATTATCAAATTTTCAACTTCAAGAAACATGCCAAATTAGATATTTTTTGGAAGTGCTAGGGATTAAACCACGGGCAATGCCAGGGGTGGTGGCACATGCCTATAATCCCAGCACTTGGGAGGCTGAGGCAGGAGAATTGTTGCAAGTTTGAGGGCAGCCTGGGCTACAATGAATTCAAGGCCAGTGTGAACTAAAGGGCAACACCTTGTCGCAAAAAAACAAAAATTTAAGAAAACAAAAATAAATAAACAAATAAACCAATGCTATTGAACATTCTACGCAAACATTCTACATTGAGCTACATTCCCAGCCCTCAAATTAGATCTTGAAAGCATTTGACATAACTTTTGCTACATTATTTTACTTCTACATATTTAAAGTGAACATGTCCACAAAGCAATCTAAACACATAAAACAACAGATTTCATGAAAGTATGTTAAACCAACCCCGGCATAATAACAACTTTTAAAATAATACACCTTCACATTCATGCTGTTATGGACAACAGTAATTAATACAACCACCAAAAGCAATCATTGTAGGAACACTGGTAATTTTTATAGCTTGGCAAATTATCAAGTACCTGCTGGTTATTAATTTTCAAACATATGGGAGCTCTGTGGTAATACACATTAAATTGATTCTCTTCGACAAATATGGTACAATGAAAAAATGAACTATTAATCCACATCATAATAAATCATTCAACTCATTCATATTTTTACCAATGTATAACATAAACAGTCTTTCACACAGAAACTAATTAGAAACTTTAGCAAAACATGTTTACATACCCATGAAATTTAAGCCATTATTCCCTCTATAGCCTTGTGTGTACAATACAGTTATTGGTATATAAGTTGCTAAACTTTTATTTCTTTAAAACTAGATCCACAAATGTACTTAAGTTCTTGAACAAACAGGACTATAATTTATAAATGATGAGTATCTCAAATTAACTAGAAAACAACTGAAAGATGAGTAGTTTTCAATCAATTTAACTAATTTCATTAAAATATGGCTGTCTTGTAGTAATGTCATTATATGTCAAATTTAAAAGTAATTTTGTAAATTATTTTGGAAGTTAAAAGATTTGCACACATTTCATTTGTAGTCAGCTTTCCCTAATTAGTTTATAAATTAGTAATTCTCTAGTCTTCTAAAATTTTATGCTGCGTTTTTGAAGGAAAATAGATTACAAAAATCTAACATAAGTAACATTTAGATTTCTTATTGATTTTATTACATTAATGATCTGATTACCTATGTCGATGACGACCTAGCTTCAAAATCACTATATTTTTATATGTTAATAGTCATGAAATACAAAAGTAATCTAAATTAGAATTAAATATCCTAAAATGCTATTATTATTCAATAATCTAAATGGAAATTCACATAAAATTATGTGATCTGCTAACGCTATGGACTTCCATGCCACATTTCCACTCCAAAAGAAACCCTAGAGTGGTATGCTATATGTACACTACAGAATGAAAATCTTCTACAGAGATACCATACTGAAAAAAAAAGAATACAATAAAATATAAAGACAATGTTAATAGAAGTTTATAAAATATTAATCAGAAAATACTAAGGTTCTGCAACTTAGAAAAAAATCTATAATCTATATTAACAAAAGTAATATATTGAGCATCACCATGCAGGAATATTCTTCCTGAAATATGTTGTCATATTTAAAACTGTCTGTGCAAAAATATATATATGTTTGTGTAGGGATTAGTAAAGAACATAAATACTTGCCAAAAGTGTTCTCTTCTTTCCCTACTATATATAAATCTGGAGCCATTCTAAAGTTGAATATAAAAAGATATGTTATACTGTTGACTACAGAATAATACTACAGTTTTATTGCCATTTAAACAAAGAAGCCATAACAGTTAAATGAGCTCAAGAAATAGGTTTCAGTATCACTAGGTGCCAGCTGTAAAGAGTTATGGCTAATTGAATATGGAACTCCTGCTTAATCAGATAACTGCTCTGCTATTTCCAAATGAAATGCCATTTCCATACTGTCTGAAAATGGCCTGTTTTATTGGTAACCAGAGAAAACAATATAAACTGTAAATAACATTAAATGCTCTGTTTACCCATTCCAGGCACTGAAGTAGCAGGGGATCCAAGACGTCTTGGTAACATGTTTGATGGAAGGCCTGGAGTAACAGTTCTTTCTGGTGGTCCACCAGGGGCTGAAGAGTCCTTTGATGGTCCAGGAGATACTGGAACTTGTTGAGGAGGTCCCTGATTAGAGTTTGTTGGTGGTGGAGAAAGGTTTCTTTGAGCAGCCGTTCTCTGACGAATCTCTGAGAAGAATCAACATACTAAATTTAATATCCAAATACCATTTAGCCGATATGATGACATTTATTAAAATTTTGTAATATTAAAAGGCATTGTAGGGTCAAAATTGCTTATAATAAGGAATCTATAAAATTTAACACTGAAAACAGAGTGCTCAGTTTCTGAACCTACAATTCAACTGTACATATTTATGTCCACATCTTGATCCATCTAATATCACTTTTCAAAATAAATTCAATATAATAAAATAAACATCCAATTATGGGTCACACTTTTTACATTAAATCTTCCTGCTTATGATAAAGGAAAGAAAGCTGATCAGAATAAGTGAAAACTCCCAATATCTGATTTGTTTCTCTAGATTAAAAATAACTTTAAGAAATAAGTGAATATATACACTCTAGAATTATGAAATAATCTAAGTAGTCATAGAAATGCTGAAAAAGTATTCTTTACTATTTAGGTATTACTCCTATTCTCCTTTATACTATTGCTATTTTTTTGAAAAATTTTTTGCCAATACATTCAATAAAGGAAAACTTCCAGTTTCCTCACAAATAAATCTTACTTTAGTTACAGAAATTACTGTATAAAATTTTCTATAACAGGAGTCAGAAAACTGCCAAACCCAGGCTTCTGTATGTTTCTGTAGTTTTACTGGAAAACAGTCCTGCTCTTTTGTTTACATATTGTCTATGGTTGCTTTCACCGAGTTTAGTAGTGACAAAAGAGACAATATGGCTCTCAAAGCCGTTTACTCTCTGGCTCTTTCATGACTCCTACTCAATAATATAAAATTAAACTCTAACATTCCCTATTCCAATCATATGTTACTTGAATGTCAACAGTAAGATCTCAAATAAAGAAGCCCTTACAACTTTTTAATTCTATGTATCATTAAATTTTCACAAATTCTAAATTAGCAACAGAAATTAAAGATGTAGCTAAAGCATTAATGGTAAAAATGCATACTTCCTGAAGCTAAACACTTTAGACTGGGACACCATATGACAAACTTTCATAAGAATGTTGTTCCAAGTTTATAGCTCTAGTGTCATATCTTAGTCCACCACAATCTTATTTACTTGTTAAGGACTTGGACCTTGTAGAAAGGTTTGGTTGGAATCCTGGTTCTAGCTATGTGACCTAAGATAGGCTTGATAAATCTGTTTATCTGTAAAATTAACTTCTTAACTCAAAAAATTGTTTGAGGATTAGACAATGTGTGTTGACTGCTAACATTTACTGAAAACTTAATTCAGATGACAGTGATTTCACACAACTAAGCATTTTCTTTTTCTTTTTATGGTGATGAGAATTGAACCTGGAGCCTTGTGCATGCTATGGAAGCACTCTGCCACTGAGCAATACCCCAAGCCCCTCCAAGGCATTTTTAAATTATTTTACCTATAATTACTGGGACCAACAAATTTTCTAATTTAGTCTCTAACAAGATAACACAATAAAAAAATTATAAGCATATTATCATTATATAAGTGGAACCATGTTTGTATCTTGCTATTTTCCATGTAGTTTATGTAGAAAATATCAGATATTACCTGAATTAATCATACCCTAACATTTCCTACATATTAGCTGGTTACCTAATTAATTCTTACAAAGAATACTTATTAGGGAGTTACACATTAGGAAAGCCATTAAATGTACAAAAGATACTGAAATCAATAAAATCATACTAAGATTTGATAATTTAAACTGTTAATTGAAAAATAAGCCATCAAATACTATAAGTCACTTTTAGACAATTTTCAGGTAATGTATAGCTCAAAAATTACACCTTTCATATAGATAAATAAAAGTTTAGTATACATTAGGCTATACTGAAAGTAGCCATTATAGTTTTACTTCTTAAACAAAAATTTAAGACTGCTTCCTGAGAATGTGCCTTTAAACTGTAAAATATTAACTAACATGCCTTTAATATCAGTCACATGCTACTAAAAGGTGAGGTCCATAACTAGTTGACAAAGGACATCATGTCTAGCAGTCCATAAAAAACTCTTAGCTTAATAATTCTAAATTTAAATATAGGCAAAGAGAAAAAAAGTTACAGAAAAGTCATGAACAGAAATAAATGTAGTTTTACCATTTTCAAAGGAAAAGTAGATTATAAAGGATTACTATTATTATGAATAGTTTTAAACAGCTAGCCACACAGTACCAAATGCATATTTGGTAAAATGTTATTAAATATTCTTTAGTATCAAATTAGAAATATCTACGATTTATCTACTCTTAGCTACTTGACACAAATGTTTTATATTACTGTAAATAAAGTGTCTAGTACTCAAAAAAGCAGTCATATTGTTTATTCAATATTTTCTACATTTAAATGTAAAATACAATCCTCAAAAAAAGTTACCAAGCATTGTACATTGATCAAAATATCATAAGGAGTAATCCATAATGTCAATTCTTGATCAGCGGATGGCTTAACATTATAATCAATGATCAATCAATGATTCAAAAAAAATCACACTCACCAAGTATGAGGACAAGACCCTACTAGTTTTAAATTTAAAATCTAGCAAACAGAATCAAAATGAGATTTTTAAAAAATGACTAACAGACTTTAGGTTCACACTTTTCATAATTTTAACTCCTCTTTTTATTTCATTGTACATGCAAATCTTTTTCAAGTTCATGACATTTCTCAATTCAGCTTCTTCATGAGACTACTTACCCATATGGTTCTTGTAAAGATTAAATGAGAAAATCAACACAAAGAGTTTAGCCAGAACACATGAAAAGTACTTAATAACAACAGCTGTTAGTAGTGCAAACATAAAGGTTCCAGAAATTACAATGAATCAACAGCTAAGCAACCTAGAATTTCTAAAGTAATTATATAGCTAATAATTTACACATTAAAAGTTTTCAAAACATTATTTGTTAAGTTGTGTAAACTTACAATTTACATGAAAATTTAAGTATAAAACTATTTTGCTATTCAACCATTATTGAGATAAAAGTTTTGCATAATACAAATAATTATCCCTTCTTTATTAAGTCAACCAGGTAGCTACAATGTTCACATCAACCTTAACTCCTAGCTTAATACTGATGGAAGTAATCTGCTTAACATTTTAAAAAGACCGCAAGACAATGAATCACTCACAGATCCTCATCTGAAACAATCTTAGAACATGTAACACAGGCACTTTCCTTACAGCGAGTCTCAAAGTTTTGGCAGGCATCTAGATAACAACATCTTCACTCTCCCCACTTTCCAAATCTAACTGCCATCAAGGTCAGTCAATCTTCTCCTGAATTATCTCTTAAACCTCTTTTCTCTTCAACTACATTGCCATAACTTTACCAGTGCAGACCTTTATCTCTTACCTACAATATATAATATCCTAATTGATCTCCATGTTTCAACTTCACTCACTCTTCAATCCTTCTCCACATTACCAAGAAAAATGTTCTTAATCTAAAATTCAAAACCTCTAATGGCTTTCCAAACAGTATATAACATAAAGTCTCACTCTATAATGTTGCATACAAAGTTTTCTGTAATGATTCCTCATTCACACTGAATCCTATCTCCCTGTTTCAGGGATAAGAATCCTATCTTTGTCAGGGATAAGGCACTATTTGCAGTACCTAAAAGTACTACCTTGTACATCTTCTTTACCTGAAAAATTTCCCACTCCCATTCTCAAAGAAAACTATTGTGACTCATGCCTACCTTCTACATTAGTTGTGGTCCATATATATTAGACTGTTTATTTACATGTATACACCTCTTTTAACCAAGACATAATAGGGAGGAACAGCAACTTTAAAGCCTCAGGATGTGGCAAAGTAATTGCCACAGGGTATGAACTTAATAAAAGTCTATGTAATAAATCTATTTTCATCCTATATTTCAATTTTAAATTTCCAACTGCCCATTAACAAATTTACATAGTGTGATAAGCAGATTAGTGGCCTCCCAAAGATGTCCATAGCCTCATCCCCGGAACCTGTAAATATGCCATGTAACACTGCATTCATTAGTAAAAACCTCAAGCCTGGTTAAAACCAACTATTTGCCTGCTCCATACCTACACCCACACAGGTGAACATACAAAAGAATCGTGTTTTAATTCATGACCAGAATTTTTTTTTTTTAGTTCTTTTATTGGTACATTTTAGGTATACAATTCATTTACATTTATCATTGGGTGTTTGTACCTGTACATGATGTATCTTTGTTCTTATTTTTT